AGAAAAGATATAGGACCGGGCAGAGAATGCCAACAAAGCACCGTGTCAAGGGAATGAGAAGCAATGGGAAAGGTGGAAGGTCAGAGATACAAGCCTCAGAGAACCACAGAAGACTGAGAGGAGCCAAATCACAAGGGGCAAGGACAACCCCAGTCTGAGGACCAGGGAGCCAGGCAGCAGGAACCCATTACAAGCAGCAGACTTGTCCAACAGACTTGTCCAATTGTACTTCTGATCGATAATTATGGCGGGGATGTGTAAGGTGCACTGGAGAGGGGTAGTGAGACCATTTCGGCTTCTGCCCTTTTTCAGAAGAGATTAACAGTTGCCTTAAATGGAACAGAGGGCAGACTGAAATGACAGTTAACAGAGTAGTTAGATTAGAACTCAGGCTAGGGTAGAGAAAAGAGGTGACAGGGTGGCAGACGGGGAAAGGAAGGATGAGCACCCAAAGGCAAATGGAGCGAAGTACTGGAGTTCCAAGTTGTTTTGGACATGCCGAGTTCACCGGTGCCTAATGGGCGTTCAGCAAGGGGGCTGACTGCGAGAAAGAGAGCTGAGGCCCCTCTTTAAGCCAATCAGAGCAAACGATACTTAGGCTGTTTGGCTTTAGGGAAGTAGGTACCATTATGAACCTTGCTTCTATAAGTGTCTTTATAAATTACTGAGCTCTACATGGGTGGCCTCCAAGCCTGTTGAGAAGCTCACACCATCAACCCAGAGTGGTGTGGTAAAGTGACTTGTCCTGGGGGGGAGGACGAACTTGTTTTTTTCATGGCAGGCGGCAGGCTGCAGCTAGTAGGAGCTTCCCTTAGGATTTCTATTCTGCCCTCAGGAACAGGGCAGAAGCAGGCTTGCGGGGACATGCCATTCTCAGGGGCACCAAGGGCAGAAGAAGCCTCCTGTCTCTAAATTCCCCCAGTTCCTCTTGGGTAAGACAGTGTAATGACAAGTCAATGGTGATGTAAAAAAATAAGCAAAATGAAAATTAAGTTTGCACTAAAAAAAGTAGTAAGATGTTACAAAATAATTTCTGACTGGTGATTGTACAAAATGAGACCCTAACGCTCAAAATCCCTGCTCGGTTGCCCACTCTATTAAAAGAAGGCAGGCTCTTTACAGCCGGGAGCCTTTCTCTGCTGCAGTATGTTCAGTGAATTGAAGGTGATACCTAAGCATTTTAATAGTTGAGGCTAGCCACTCCAGTCTACATGGAGGAGAGACAAGGAAGGTGGGGGGAGAAGAAGTAGAAGCAGGTAGAGAAGGCCCACAGCGCTATCTCAGTTGGGACTGGTGGGGGAGGGGGGGAGGCATGAAGAAGCAATGGAAAAGACAGAGGCCCAGGAATGTGAGCCTCACAGTCACAGAAGACTAAGAGAGGCTACACCCCCAAAGGGAAAGGATGACTGGGCCAGGATCTGTCCCCACGAGGGTGCTTTCTCTTATAGATGTCTGTAAGCACCCAGGTCCCTGCCCTCGCCTGCATTCAGTGGGAGCAGGGGCGCTGCACCACCGGGCAGTCTCCAGACAGGGCCAAAGTGCTACAGGACGGGTTGGTCCCCATGAATACCCATCCGGCAGAAAGGAGGGAAGAAAACATCTTCACAGATTCGTAAATCTCCCGCAGGCCTCCTCTCCCCGTCACATATACTGTATTCTTCAATATAAACATTTAGGAAGAAATATCAAATGTCTCCAAACAAGCAAAATAGGTACGTGCACCCAGAGAGGCATGTGTGAGGTCCAGGATTGGTTCTGCTGCGGAAATGGAGCGGACCTTGCTGTAAGGAGACTATTAATGAACTCTAGGTAGCACAGTGGGGGTGAGGGGCAGAGAGCCGTCCTGAAATCCAGACAAGAGCCTTTGGTATTAAGAGAAGATTTTCTAGTCATTAAAGTCAGTGATGGGGACTATTCCTTTGTGACAGCTGAAAATAGATCCCCCTCCTCCCTCCCAACAAATCCTTTAGGCTCTTTTTAGGGTAGGCTTCTATAGCTGACAGCCCTGATCTCTTTTCCTGGGACTTTAAGAGTAGGGCACGGAGGAACCAAAACTACCTAATTAGCGGCAGGGCCTATTGTCCTAATACGGTTACCATTCCAGGCAAAAGAAAAGCCTGGGTCCTTCCCAGGAAGTGTGTGAGGGTAAAGGCTCAACTGAGAAAAGAAACAAGAAAAGGAGACCAGTCACACTGGTGACAGGAAGCCAGACTCATGAGTCAAACATCTCTTGACAGAAACTTAAAAATTATATGAGATCTGGAAAAGATGCTCAAGACTTGGGTACACTGTGTAATTCTCAAACAACAATATCTCTAAATAAACAGAAAAAGGCTTAAAGTACAGATAACAATGCTGTCAACAAAGTATCTCTGGGGGGGTGTGGAATTAGAAATAACTTTTCTGTGTTTTTTTTTTCTTTTTGAATATCTGTACTTTCTAAATTTTGATAATGAGTCCCTAGGCTGAATCTAGGAGTGTACCAGGTGGACCAAAGGGAGGCAGTGTATTTTCTGCAGACAGAAGAACATAAAAAAGCTCAGAGGCAGGAAGCAGCAGAGGGCAGCAGGGACAGGGTTCCATCTGGTTGGGATGCAGGTGTGAGTACAGGGGCCTGGAGAGGGGGCAGTGCCCTGAGCACAAAGGGTCCCACACACCAGGAGAGGACCTGGGGTTATCCTATATGGAACTGGGAGGCAGTGAAAGTGAGGATATTTCATCAACAGATTGCTTTACACAAGAAAGCAGTTCCAAGTAATCACTTATCCATCCCCCATGGATAGCTTCATTACCCCAGGGCACAGCCGACTTAAAAGTACTGTTCTGAAACACTAAATGGTCTTTTTGACACAAGATGAGCCTGAGACCAAATCTGATTACCCGAATGGACACGAATGTAATTGGCAGTTTTAAATGACAACTTAGCACTATTGTTTTTCAAGCTTTTGCAATGGATGAGCATCCAGAACTCACTTTACTAGAAACTGTGTACAGTTAAGAAAGAAAAGTGGAATTGCTACCCAGGTCCCAGCCTCAGTCCCCTCCTGCAGAAGCCCAGCTCAGAGACCATGTGCCTGTTTATTCGACACCGTACTATAGGACACTTCAGTGCAGACTTTCTCTCTGCCTTCCCACGTCACCTCGTAAGTTTAAATGATGCAAAGCAAATCGTTCATCCAGGAATACTTAATTTGAAATATATGAACAGTTATACTCAAGATATAAATATAAATATGTATCATTTAGGATGACCCCAGGGTTTCATTTTTTTTTCTTTTGAAGATGATAAACATTTCATCAGGTTTCCATCTCAAAAGGAAATGACACGAGAGAGACAAGGCAACTTTTTCAAGCCCCTGCACTGGCTTCTCTGAAAGGGAGAAAGGAATGTCAAGGAAATGGGGGAGAAAGCTTAAAAGGAGTGGAACATTAGCAAGCAGGGCCGCCTCTCCTTTTCACCTTAAGTCTTTTCTCTCCCCCATTCACAGCTTTGGGTCCTTTGTTTGTTTAACAAACCATTGCAATTATACCCAGTTCAATGGGGAGGAATGCGCACTCTCTAAGTAGCTGTCCTTGCAATCCACATGTGTGGTCCATACCACAGCCCATCCGCAGGCAGCTTCAATGTGCTGGTCTGTGCTCCAGTCACCCCAGAGGCCGGGCACCTTTGCTGACAATAAGCCCCAATTTCCCGCTGCCGCATGCTTGCTGTTCCTTCCCAGTAGCCTATAGCGATGTCTCAAGCTGAGCTTCCTTTCCTGCTCACCTAGCGACTGTACTGGCCCTCCTGCCTCGGCTTGTCCCACTCTGCTCCTGTGCCTACTGCCTAGTGTGTTAGCCACCCCCTACCTGTCTTCAGCCCAGGGACTCACCACCAACTACTGGGCAGACGCAGTTCAGGATCTTGCTTCTAATGTCACTCACGTGGTAAATGGAAGATACAATGAATGGTGAGATCACCCCTCTTCACCTAATCAGAACTGCTAGTGCCTTTCTCGGTTCTAGTAGATACACTAGCAGATTGGGATGGATGTCAATCTCTTAGCCAATAAGTCAAAATATAATTTAGCAAGAACATTATATTTTAAAGGGATTCAAAATAATATTTAGTAAAACAATAATATATTTCCTTTGAACTCATAGAAGTCCTTTCATGCTATTTTGTCTACTAATTTCCATCTGCCAGCCCTTTGAGAGAGGCAGCAAAGCATTTTCATTTCCCTCTAACAGATGAGGAAACTGAGGTTCAGAGACTTAAGTTCTCTACTCACAGGCACTGATGAATACGATACTGAGAATAATGAACTGCACCAAGCGAAGCATCTGGTACACAGCGAGTGCCCCAAAGTGTTCACTTCCATTATCATTACTGATGACCACAACAGTGACCAGAGGCCAAACCCAGGTGTTCCGAGCTAAGCTTCCCTCTTTCCACTTGCACGTGGCCACCCCCGACTAAGATGTCTGAAGGGACAGCGGACTTCAGCAATAGCTTTCGCTATAGCGTTTCCAAACAGAGCCTCAGTAGCTGGATTCCCTAGTGCCACTGGTATGCGACCAGCATCATCTTCAGGCTTATCAGTCAACATCTTCCACAAAGGGGAGGGTAACCTTTCCATGTTCTCTTACGTACACAGTTAGGAGTGCAGTCAAAGCAGCATTAAAGCTTCTGAACCGACAGGGCTGTGAGCAGAAAATTCCATAGATCGGCAGATACTATGGGGCTGCGGAGGGGGAAGAGCAGAGGATATGGAAAGTTGCTAATAGTATCCCCTGAGTCCCTGAAAAATGCAGAGTGTAGGAACGCTTTTTTAAAGAAGAAAAGATTAAAAATTCTATTGTAAGCTATTTGCAGTGTGAGAGGGAAATGTACTTTTATTCTCTACTAGAACCTTTTTGAAGTACTTTGAACCTCCTGCACATCTTTGACTTATTTTACTGTGTGTCCAAGCAGTTATTGTGCCAGAAATAATTTCAAACAGCGACCACCACTTGCATACCTACTGGGTGACAGGAAACGTCAGTGTTCAGATGGTCACGGGGTCCTCGCAGGCGTCTGCGGATCCTTGCAGGTTGAGGATTCAAACCTGTAAGGAGAGATCTTGCACGTCTTCAGTGAATGAAGCCAGCAAAACATCCCCCTCTCATGCCGCAACTGGGGCTTCACTTCAAGAGCCTACACTCAACTGATATTGTGCAGAGAGATTTTCTATTGTGCTTCCGTTCATTTTACTAAGCGGAAGGAAGATCAGTTTTAAACTTCGAAACCCTGTGTTGTAACACCTCAATAGACCTACCACCCTTAATTTTTAAGTATCAGAAATACCAAACAGCAGAAGTCTTAAAACGTGTGGATCATCTGCTATATTTAAGAGGTGTCATAAAGTTCATAATGCTGTAACTTAGAAGATTTTCAGTATTTCATATAATCTTGCCCAAGACAACCTTTAAGTATTTCTATTATATCCTTTGTCCTACTTGCAACTAGATTTTAAAAACCCTGAAATTTTCCCGATTTCTGCAAGTAGAAAAAAAAACCCCATGCAATTGCTTACATAAAATATTCAAAATAGCAGTCAGAGGAAACGGTATTTTAAAAAAATCAACAGTATTAGAATACCATAAAACAGGTATGCAAATCCAGGCAATAACAAACCTGAAACAAATTATGAATTGAAAACGTCAGTAAAACTAGTAGGCATTCATATTCAACAACAGCTTTGTATAAATGTACAGACTTAGCAAGTGTGCAGGGTGGAAAGGCTGAAGGCTCCAAGGTGAATAGACAGTCCAGTGGTTTACCAAACCTAGCCATGCATTAGAGTGCCAGGGAAATCTTTGGCAGAGGCTCACATGGCATCCCTAGGGCCCTGAGATTTATGTTTGTACCAAGGCTTCACGGCCAAGTCTGCAGCCGGCTTTGCACTACAGATCCCTGGTGAGCATTCGGAAACTGGTATCTCTGGTCACCAATTAATTATAAAGCTTGGCTTCTTCCAAATAAGACTATTCCAACCAGTTGATCCTCTTAGGTGAGAAGCTTTTCAAGGTTTTCTTAGCCAGTACAAAGATAAATATATTAAGAAATAAAGTCAATTATAGCTCACCTAAGTAATTTTTTCACTTGGTTGCCTCTTTTCTTAATTTGATCAAAAAAGACTATATCTGTTTATTTTGGGTAAGAACATCACTTTAAAAATAAAAAAATTAAAGCCATTTTAGACAACTAAATCTTTAAAATAACCTGCCACAAATTCAAGGGAAAAACTGGAGTGGGTTCTTTGTCTGAATCATCCAGAGAATTTGTTTTAAATGTATTCCTCACTTTGCATGTATAAACACTTCACAAATCATCTTCATGGTCCATCTCTCTTCTCAAAATACTCAACATTTATCATGGTCTCCAAAGGCCTGGATTAATTTCTTTTTAAAGGCTTTAAAAACATTAAAGCAAGGGAATGAAATTCTTCTGGATGATTCTTCCTTTGCCCCTACCCATCTCACCAACAGACAATACCAACTGAGGAATTCAGACGCGGAGGCTCTCTTCTGCCCCACTAGAAAGCATGCACATGACATGCAGTACGCAAACCAGGCCGTGGAGTAGCTTAGCTCCATTGTCAGGATATTCAAATTATCACTGAAAGAAAGAGATTCCTTTCTGAATTCAACAATACTCCTTGGCCTCCGAGGGCTCACACAGGAGCTTATTCTTAAGCTGTTCAATGTAAGCAGCACTAGTGAAAGAGGAGAACCCTGGCCGGGAGGAGATCAAGTCCCTGGCCTTTCCCACCTGCCATCTCTGCACCAGTCTAATGCTTAAATAGTTAACAATGCAACAGAGAACCTGAAAGCACGCATGGCCCTGGGGGATAATCCTGTGCAGTACAGGACAATTTAATACAGCAAAGAAGAAGAGACAGTGCAGAGAAATAACACATCTAAGTTTGACAGGATGCTACTTGCAGACTGCATTTCAGGTCTGAACTTCGATTTCAAAACCACAGGGAAAGGTTTTAATATGTCAATTACATAAAAAAGTACATGGCCCCAAATGGCCCTATGATACCCGACATTCCTAACTAAATACAGATGTTGCTGAGCTCCAGAGTAGCAAGAAAAATCCCACTTTTCTCGGAACGGGGCCTGGCGCATGGCAGACAGATTAATTCCAGTTAATTGTTACAGATAAATGGGAAAATATTTGGGGGTAAATGGTATGTCCCTTCACTGATGACAAAAACTAAAGTTTCATGAATCTAGAGCATAAGATTTCTAGAATGCATTTTCTGGTAGTCACAATATGCTCTTCCAGGCACTCGCTTCTGAGAGCAGCATTTAAGGACATGTCTTCTTTTCTGTTAATGAACTGGTTTAGCTGCCTGCCAAGCATTCACTGAAACTGAACTGAACAAAGGGATTTCCCTCCAGTTTCAGCTCATTCACTTCTAGCTACCCTTGATTTCGCTAAGTAAATTCTTCAGACTGACTTTTTTATTTCTAATGGTTTGAGTGGGAAGGAACTGGGCAGCCCCAAACACTGGAAATTCTGCCTTGGTTTTCAGTGAAAGACTCCTCTGGGCTGAAGATGTACAAGGTTTATTTTTGAAAAGCCTCTCAACTAAGATTTTTTATTTTAGTTCCTCAAGTCTGTAATTCCAAATGGAAAGGAGCCCACCTGGTATGGTAGATCACGGACAACTAAACCTTATTTCACGGAGGTGGACCACAGTGAACGATTAGATTATACCTCTGCAGTGAAGACCCTATGTGGGATACTCACTCATACAGCACAGAGGAGCACATTGCAAAAGGTCACTGGAAATTTGAATGATTTGTGAGCCTGGCACCTGGCCCTCTACCTTTTCTCACAGTCCCTGGGGGACTTTGTTCATAACCCAATGTCAACTACTCCTTGAGATCACAGTCCTCCCAAATATTTACCTTTAATCCTAAACTTTAAAATTCCAGACAAGTCCACCTACCTACCTCTTGCCTTGGTGTCTTGCAGCTCCCCCTGAAGAGCCCTGTTCTAAAGCAGGCACTCCACACAGCTCAGTCCGGACTCCGGGCTCCTCTTCCGAATTAGAGTTTAGCCACTGACACCAACTATGTAATAACAGCTGACATTTACTGAATGCTCACAGAGTGATGACCATTGTTTTAATCACTTTACTCAATGCCCTCAACACCATCTGAGTAGGAGATATTAAGCTCATTTTACTTGGGGGGAAACTGAGGCTTAGGAGTTACACAAATCTGCCCATGCTCACACCAGCTGCACTGGATTTTACATCCAGGCTGTGCGATTTGTGAGTCCACATTAGCAACAGATCAGTCTCTTCACCGAGTATCACTTCTAACCTCTCCAAAGCCAGAACGTCTGGAGTCATGCTAGATTTTTCTCTGTGACTAAGCTAAAGCTGTAAGATCTGCAAGCTTATAGTCTCTCAAATCTCTTTCCTTCTCCCAGTGTCTACAGTCACCACGGTTTGGGTGGTGGTTTGTCTTTATGTCAGCCTCCAGACCAGTATGGAGGGACAGCTCTGGAACTTTACTTTGTCCTTCCAACAGTTTTCCTTCCTAGCTCGTTTAAAACAGGTGCAGGATGACGGGAGAAGCAGTCTGTCTTTAACATCTAAACCAAATGAGGAGATTCTGCCCAACATCTAGGGTGGGAGAAGGAGAGAGTGGGGAAGGGGGTGGAAAAAAAGACACTTTCCCCTCTGTCGCGCCCCTGATGCAGAAAGGAAAAGGAGACCTGCCAGCCCCCAGAAAGGGGCCTTTGCACAGCTCTGGTTCCCGAGGCAGCACGGAGGCCCCAGCAGGGCATGCATGGAGTGCATTCCGGGAGGCCAGACCTGAGCAAGGGATTCCCAACCTTCGCTGGTGGGCCTGAGGCTTCCAGAGACCACGACTGTGAAAATGCCAAGGGCCAGAGACAAGTCCCTCATACACCAGGTACTGTGGAAATCTCCAGGTTTCAGGACATAACCCAGGAGGGAGGGGAAGACACCTAAAAATGACTGCAATGAAATTCCCCTCCAGGTTGGCCACATGGGGCTGGAGTGTGAATTAAAATAGTTACGGGGAATAAAAAAGAGGATACTTCCTGCATATTTAACGTTGTGGAGTGAGAGGCAGACTTGCTGGTGCCTTAAACAGGTGCTAAGACTAGTACACACCTGTGCTATAGATGAGGTTCAACCACCCTAACTGGAGCCAGACTGTGTTTCAGAGAAGCACCCCCCACCCCACTCTACCAGCAACCCCGCTGCAAGGGGGAGTGTGGAGTCTGCAGAGACGCTGGTGCTGGGCCTCTGCTTTAGAGCCCTGGAGGGTGTGGGGTGGGGAGAGTGGTGCGGATAGAGAAGGAAGGGAAGGAGCAGATGATAAGTGTTTACTCACAAGATTAACTCCTCTGACTCCTATGCAAATACCTAGAAAGAGAGAGGCAAAGAAAGTTATCTTAAACTCTGAATCTCTCAAAAACCAAAGGGGAAAAGGGCGGGTTGGGGGAGTGTCGGACAGAGGAAGTCAACTAGGAAGAGGAAAGAGAGGCTGGTGCTGCTAGCATGGAGTCACAGGACACGTCCCCGATTCCCGAGCTTAGAAGTGCCTGCCAGAGTGACATGCTGGGATGGGCAGTGGGGCTGTGGATTTTTCCAGAAGGTGGAAATGCTAGCAAGGAGGTCTGGGGGAAACCCTTACTGTGACAAAAGTGGTGATTCACAGATGTTACAGAAACAGCAGGTACTTGTGCACCTAACAAAACTTCTTAAGGGACCCAGACTTCGAGGCCCATCATGTCCTCTGAGCAAACCCCACTCCAGCTGTGCCACTGAACATCTGAGGCTTTTGGATGAGGACTAGCAAGGCCCTCCTGAAAATTGGAGAGCATGCAAGATCTGACAGCCATTATTCAGAAATCAGAACTTCGGAATAGAGAGCTGGGGCAGGAAGGCCTTCAATGCCCAAGAATCAGCAACCAGGGAGCCCCAGTTTCCTGTGGCACAGGCACCTGCTAAGTCTGCCCTGGCACGTGGGTACGCATCCAGAGGGAAGACAGACCTGGGCGAAGAGGGCCTGCCCGAGGACCAAGGGCCTGTGGTAGAGGCCACATGTGCCAGGATGTGTCCTCTCAGTTTGGGTATTAGGAAGCTGAGTAGCTGGCATTAAATTGTACCCAAGAAGAGAACTCGCAAGCCAGGAACATGGAAGTCAAACATTATGTGTTCGGCAGGCAAGCAGAGGTTTGGAAAACCAGAGCAACCACAGCGTGGGGCCCCTCTGGTCTCACTAGGGTCTGGCCTCTTCTGTTGACACTCGCTTCCCTTCTCACACCAGACAGTGGGGCTCAGAAGGGAAGATGGAGAAGGAGGCACTTAATGGACTCACATGGTCCATCTCCACTTCCTAACATCTAACATGTGCAACCATGTACGGACACTGTCTTCTAATCTGTGGTACCCCAAAGCTTGGTGGGGTGGGGGATAGTAAGAAGGTAAGCTAGAGAATGGAGGACTAGCCCACTTTGTTGGCCAAAACTCAATTTTCATGTGGCTTCCTTTAAACCTACTACCTACCAGCCTAGTGAGTAAGGAGCCTGGAGTCCAGTTAGAGCAATGAAAAGAGACATTTCTACACACTGAAGACTAAGACCCAGACTAGCTCCCCAGTCTGTTTGGACTGGCTCTCCCCCATCTTACACAACCTCCTGTCCCAGCGATTCTTCTAACAGGCAAATATGCTTCTAGTTGCGTGTCAGAAGATTCCAAATGTGGCTGTTTGAAATTCTGCAATGGTCCCATTAGTTTCTGTCACATGCGACCATGAGTCCTGCCTACTCAGAATTGCTGAGAGGTTTTAAGTGGGAGAGCAGTATACTCAGGCTTGTGTTATGGAAAGATTTCGTAGATGGCAGATGCATAGATCATGTGCCTAGATTTATCCATTTCATACCTTAAAATCAGTGAAATGGTAATTTCCTTGTGGGGCGGACACAAAAAGCAAAAGAAGAAGAAAAAAGTGAACAAAAATGCAATAACTGAACACTGAAGTTTATAAAATTACCTGTCCATAAAGTTTTAAAGCTTCCCTCATTCAGAAAGAACAACACTCTTACACCCTTTGAGTTGAATATACAGGGCAAATGAGAAATATTTCAGGGAAAGAACATAAAACGATAATGACCACCGTCATGTGGTTCTAAGTTACATTGTCGTGTGTGTCTGCTTTGGGGACCACTTCTAATTCCTATGCTCAAACAAAAAGAAAAACTTTATCTTGGGAAATGACACATCATGGGTCGATTAAATTATTCCCTAAAGTACATTTGCTATAGTGTAAACATGCATACCTAACTCCTACCATTATTCTAAACACACTGAGACATGTGCTTCCTTTACTACCTTTTATGATAATATTTAACACTCTCTTATATTATGACCCCTAACTCTTTTACCCCTGCAGCTGCCTTCATTTCAACTTGTTTGTTTAGAGAGTTGGGAAATAAACAAATTTTCATGATATTTCTTAGTGACTTTCCTCACCTTAAAGTGGTAAGATAATTAATACATTTTCCATGATGTGAGAAGCATACTCTACTCTAGAGTAGGTTGTGTTCTACCATCAGTTTTAAACTGTTAACCAAATGATAGTGTTCTATTAGGCATACCTTGGAGACACTGAGGGTTAGGTTCTAGACCACAACAGACAGGTATCGCAGTAAAGTGAATTATAATCTTTGTGTTAGTGGAGGGTCTGGCTTTCAATTTGTTAAAAAACGCAACCCCTGTGAAGCGCCACAAAACAAGGTGCGCCTGCCTGTGTCATCTAAGCGGACGGGGTGGCACGGAAGGGAGCACACTGGCTCTAGAGTTGGGTGGCTCTGGGTGTGAGTACTGGCTCTGCTGCTCGCCAGGTATGTGACCTTAGGCAGGTGTCCTAACTCCTCTTCCTGGTGACATCTCTCTGCCTCGCAGAGCTGTTAGCAGATTATACATTACATATGTACAAACAGAAGCACAGTGACTGGTACAGAGTCTAAAGTGTATGTACAGAGGAGATGTGGTCTGTTAATAAGTATCAAGAATGATTTTACAAACTGGGTTAAGTTCACAATTAGAAAACACTAAATAAGCTATTTTAGAATGTAATATAACAGAAAGAGTATACATTTTTTATTTACTTCAATAATCTTTCGTTTGGATCATCATAATACAATTTCACTTCCTAACATGCCCCTGTAAGAGAAATGTCTAACTTCCAGCTTCAAGTTTTACATGTCATATATTTGAAAGATTTGTAAAGTATTATTAGCTGTGCTTTTAATGGCAACATCATACTTAACTAAAGAAAACAATTAAAAATGGGCCTGGGATGAATGGGTCTTACTGTTATTATAAAGTTACCTGAATGACTGATACACAGACGTGATTCTGGCATTTTGGGATAGTACTAGAATCTTCCTTTCGAATGTGTTGGTGGGCAAGTGGACTAGCTTCGATTAGAATTATTTGGAGAACAGGAATTTGAACACACACACACACATCTAATAGCCTCTTCACTTTGGCCTTCCAACTAGAGCAAGTGTGGATAGCTTTTCTAGAAGTCAACCCCAAGAGAAAAATAAGTTTGGAAGCAGTTTATCTAGTGAGAGGCTTAGGGGGACAAAATCAAGTGTAAGATGAAATATAAGAAATCTTACAAAGAACACTGAAACTAAAAAAAAATTATGGCATATTACAGTCAAGGACATTTTGTAAAAAAAAAAAATGTTTGGCGAGAAGCCAAGAGTTATGGTTAAGCAACACTGTTAGCACTAAAGCTGCAAAACGGGGGAGGGTTGCTGTAGGGTAGAGAAGGCAATGGGTTTACACAGAGAACACACTGCTTGTTGTGGGGGGAGAGCAACCAAAATGCTGAGTGCGAAATTTAAGGCAGTAATTACTGTTTTGAAATAGGTGTTTCATACAAATCATAATCTCCAGATGTATGGAGAATGATAAGAGATAAAAACTGCGACTCCTGCCAACCACGAGTTCCCTCAAATAAACACTGGATTTAGGGGCACTTATTTCCTAACACGTATTTCACAATGTTAGGGAATTTGGACAGAACATATGCAAATTGAGAATCACCTCATATTGCGATTTTAGGCACATGATTTAGAGACTTTGAATTGCAATACATGCGACATACTAAATGTGACTCTAGTAGCACCCCTAATTTCTTTTCCTGGTATGTATTTGTTTGTTTTTGTAAGATAAAACAGTATTAAAATGTCTTTTTAAAATGTAAGGGAGGGAACATTGCCAAGTTTCTAGTAAGCAAGTCATGATAAATAAAAACCAACTGTATAAAAGCCCCTTATGGGGGAAAGGCAGGAGGCTTTGGACTGTGCTCTAACTCAGAGCAAATGAGAACACAGGCTCACCACTGACCACAGTGAGCCCACTGGGCAGAAGTCGGATGGTCTCGCAGAGACACACTTACCTTTCTGAGTCTGAGGTACAAAGGAGTTTTAGATGTGATGTGAAACGGGCCACATCAGACGTGAAAGCAATCCTACAGGGGAAAACATTCAAAGGTTAAAAATAAAGGCATTGAGAAAAACCACACTGGTACTGTGTAAGTAGACATTTATACACAGAGTATGAGTTCAGGAATGCCAGGATCAAAAATTTCTCTCCGTCAACATGCCATAGTGGCATTTTCCAGCATTCCAGGGGCACACCTTTAAGTTCTTAAAGGATCTTTAGTTTCAGAGAGGGAATACAGTGATGTGGTCAACAGCAGGGGCCATGGTGCCAGACTGCCTAGACTCCTGTCGGGGTGCCACCTGGGGCCACTTAGCAACCTCGCCCAATCTCTTTAGTCTCTCCCTGCCTCAGCCTCCTCACCTGTAGAATGGAAACAAGAATCCTACAGCACAAGAGCCTTTTGAGGATTAAATGAGTTCATCTAAGTGAAGAGCTTAACACAGTGGTAAGCAAGGAGCACTCAAGCATTTGCCATCATTTTCCGGAGACCAAAATTCAAGTAAAAATACCTCATAGCCTTGGGCAGAAAAATCAGATAATTGTCAAGCCTTTAAAAATAAGTGTCAAGTAAGAACATGATCCTTTGGGAAGAGGAAAGAAGTACCTGGGCAGGGCTGAGGGTGAAGTGAAAATAAGGGGAGGATTCTAAGGAGCAAGGAAAGACCACTAAGAGGTAAAAAAACAAAACCAAAAAACAAGCAAAACCAAACAGATAACCCAAAACTCCAAAGCAGAAAACAGTTCTGCTTAATACCATTTTTTTTTTCCAAAAACAACGCAACATCCTTCTCCTTCTAAAAGGAAAAGCCTAGAGGGCAGAACTTGTGAACAGTAAGCATACCCGAGAAAGTTAATTTTTAATAATTCTGTATTTCAGAATAGTCTTTCTGGCAATTCAATCTAATCAGTAAGGAGATGTCTCCCTTCCAATGACTAGATAAGACTTTATTGGGGCTGCTTTATTGGGTCGGTCTGGATGGAGAGGAAGCCATGTAGGAGGGAAGCAGGTAGTGGTGTCTTTCTACTAAGAAAGTTGTTTATGGAAATACATACACGCACAAATACAGAGGCCTAATATATGTTGATCCCCAAACCCATTCTGAGGGCTTGGCTCTTCACTTATTATTTCTTGGATATTACAACAGTCTTCAGTCCTAAGAAGAAAGTCTCTCTAATTGCAGGACCATGCAGTTGAAGTTATCAGACTCTAAAAACACAGTTTTTAGTTGCAGCCACTTCCTTGGCCTGTGTGTAGTCCCTTCTGTCAATGCAGACAAGGATATGCCTCACCTCTAAAAACTGAAACATCAGATGGGAAAGTGTGGTTGGATTTCCTACTTCTCCATCCACCCTCAGCTCCTCCCAACTTTGGCATAATGTCACATAAAATTACTTCCAGAAACCAGGAGGCCCAAAGAGCCAAGTTATAAACCCTAAGTGCTATGCTTACTGCTTTCTCGTCTACAAGTTAATGCTTCTGGGGGCAAGAACCTATCAGTGACCAAGGCCATGGCAATTTCCCATCTCGTGAGAAACCTAAAATCCCCACAGAACTGCAGCTGAATCTACCACCAGTGCAGAGGCCACGCGGTGGTCCCTGCCTCTCTTAAGGTTGCTGCCACAACCCACAGATTTGTGAACCTGTGCTTTAAATTTCATCCCTACCTTTAATCAAAACAGGAAATCAAGTAGATTTCTTTACAAATAATCCTGGTGGCAAAATAAAACAAAAATAACATGGAGAGTAAAACCTTAGCAAGTTCCTGTACTTGTGTGCTTACCTACACCCCACCAACTTTTTCTAAACTTTTCCATGATAATTCTATGATGTTATTTTTCCCAAAGAATGTTGACAACTAGTTCCCACTTAAAGCTCTGGTTTAAAAAGAACCAGGTTTTGATTCCCAGGCTAAAACCTGTTTCTTTGGGCTTGTTCTGGGGTCCTGTGAAATCGTTTTCTGGAATCCTTTAGAACCAAAGTTTCCCTCACACTTGTCACTGAGAGGTGAAGTGTCTGCTTCCTCTGACAGGGAGCCCATCACATACGGCGGTGGTAAATCTGGCTAAAGATGCTGTCAAAAGATGTCTTATTTTGAATTATCTAACATTATATCACAGAACTAAATCATGTAAAATGAAAGTTTTATCCATCTCCATCACTAAATCTGGTTAAGTGAAAGTCTCTAAAATTCTGAATTGTAAGCTTCTTCATCTTCTTACTGAAAACATCTAAATGCTGTGTTGAGGTTTGTTTTTAGGAAAGAATATTAGAGAAGAGACCTTGGCTTTGAAAAGGACAATTCCATGCACTTTTTATGCCTCCTGCTCAGAAGCTGATGGACTGCCCGGCAAACTTGCCAAAAAAAAAAAAAAAGCCTGTTTAATAATCCTCCACAGAGGAAAGATTTTAAAAGGCTATAGCGCCAATCAGGTAACAATAGATCAATCAGGTTTTCTTAAAATGTAGTATTTGCAGTTGAAGCCTGGATAAGTAATTACATTCAAAGTAACGTACAGGGAGCTATCAATCCCCATTCATTCAGCAGGCATTCACTGAGCCAAGAGCTTTGCGAGGCTTGGAGATATAAAAATGAATACGACACAGCTGCTTTACTTCCAACGAAAAGAATACACCTAAACAAAGATCTATAGGGCAATGTGTTAAGTGCTATAATAGAGGTGTGCACAAAGGGCTGGAGGCCAAAGGAAGAAGCCATAAATTCTTCCTTGGGAAACCGAGCAAGTGAGGGGAGATGCAAAAGAAGGTATATTGATGTTTCCTTGTGAGAAATTCAAGACTTTTTCCTAACTGTTCTCAAAAGTAAGGCACTAATGTGCCTAAGGATTTATGGACTATTCTAATTGCAAGTGCTATACTGGTCCATTGGCTAGTTTCATTTATGTTTGATATAGACTCTCAGTTAAAATTTCCCAAGAATGTAAGTTTAAAAAAATAAATGTATTATTGTAATATTACCACTCAATACATATAACCCAGAATGAAATGAAGAGCTAGCATTCGTAAAAGTTACATACAAAGTTCAAAGATGTTTTCAAACATAAACAAATGGAAGACACTGTCTAGAGACTTAGTATTAATAATGCTTATTTTAAATATCACTTTTTTTATTCAAGCAAAAATAAGAGAATCTCCTGATTATATTATGGTTAATATTGGTCTCGCTCTACTTTGGTGTTTAAAAAAAGGAGGGTGTTGGATCAACTTCTACTTAACATCATTTATTATGCATACCATATTCCTACTTATAACATAGTTGTGACAGACCCTCCATTGTTCAGTACACACTAGCCCCAAACTTGAGTAATTCTAATGTAAGCATGAGAAACCACCGTCTCCTTCAGGGTGAATTTCCAAATTCCTCTGTGTTAAATTGAGGTCTAATTTTCCTTGTGCCTGGTTTTCCCAAGAAGGTCCATTCCACCCCATGTGCTCCTTTTCAGCTGTCAATAAACAGAGGCAGTGAATTCCCCCACGGCTTCACAAAGCTAGTTAGGCAAAGCCATTCATTCCTTCAGGAAAACAGGGCATTGATTTCAGCGAGTTCCCAGGGAGCAGCTGCAACAAAGAGATCAAAGGCCCACCTCTCTTTCCCTCCATTGCTTTCATTAGGCCAGGCCCAGACAAACAGCGACAGGTTTCCTTGAGACAAGGAGAAGGCCCAGAGACCACCTCATGGTTCAATTCAAATTCATCCGTTTCCTACATTCCAGTGACAGTCCAGAATGCTAACCATGACAAACCAGCACAATCGCCCGGCATAATATACTGCGCGCTAGTTCATCCAAGGTCAGAGGGAGAAAACAGGCACCCAGGGAAGTCCTCTGCTTCCAGGGCCTGCTGAGCCTCAATGGCCCCCTGACATTCCATAAATAAACTTCGGCTGCTCACTCTCCCTTTCTTCCTCTATCCTGTGATCCCACAAGTGATGGTCTCACTTAATCTGCAGTTTCTTTCGTGTCAACATTCCCAAACTACTGGGACAGTTTATTCTCAATCTAATAGTTCCACTGATGATTGGAGTCTGCTATAGGTGCATCCCTTACTATTGGCTGGTACCCAGTAAGCTATGGCAGATGACAAATTTAGAACTATAATTCCTAGGGCTTCCCGCATGGCCACTAGACCTAAAGAAAGAGTCAGTTTGCGTAAATTCTGTTTGCAAAACATAACCGTGAACAGTGACAGAACAGTTGGCTTTTTTATTTGAGCTGGGTGATCACCCAGACTGGTAATCCAAGCTCCTGAATGGCAGTCTGTGTGTGAATGAGCTGTGTGTGTTTGTGGCAGTGCGGAGGGACCAGGAAAGAACATGAATTATCCTGATTGGTTACCTACACTGAACAGTTATAATTAAAGGTCTCCAAGATCTCCACTGAATTCTGAACTGCTTCTTTGACACAACCTTCTTGAAAACCTGTCACAAAATGTGTTCATTTCATTGTGCTCCATTCCCTTTTTGTCACTAATCCTGAGTGAACGTAGGAATAGATGAGTTGCATTTCAAAACTACTAACCTAAAAAGAAAATACACAATATTGGACTGAAAGGGATGGGGAACTCATTCCTTGACACAGAACATAATCTCTCTGTGTGCCCATCTTTTGAGCTTCAGTACTGATCTCAGGGATCCAGTCACCAATCACTCATTTGACTGCCAATGACACCACTGTACAGAGGGCTGACCAGGCCCTTCCAGGAGGAGACGAGTCAGGACAAAAATGAACTTAGAAAATACAGGACTCCGAACTGCACAGAAAATGTATCTTCTCAGTAAGTGCAGTGGGACAATCCTATCGGGAACCTTAAAGCTGATTCTGGCACTGGTTCACTTTGGGCCTGTCTTCCTACTCTTCCATAATGGAGGCAGAAATATCACGAATTCATTTACAAGGCGCTGTGAAATAACCATTCCCCCAAAACACTGTATCTCATTGAAGAAAGCTGGTCTTAGGAGTAGAAACTCCTCATATAATGCATCACTGTAATCCAAGACAGCCATTCTA